GGCACATGTGGACGAAGGCGGCCACTCCAAGGAGACCGCGCAACAGTAGACTCCGAACCCTCAGCGTCAGCACCGTCAGTCGCTCCAGAACCCCCAGCTCCAGCGCCACCAGCACCAGGACCTCCAGCAGCACCAGAACCTCCAGCGCCCGCACCCTCAGCAGCAGCAGAGCCTCCAGGAAAAACAGCTCCAGGAGCAGAGTCACCAGCTCCAGCAGCGCGGCCCTGACGGTCAAGGTACCACTCAACCCGCTGTAGGGAGGAGAGGGGGAGTCGACGACGAGAGGGCAGCGGCGAGGCACCAGCGGAGCGACTACGGAGACGGCCACTCCAGGGAGACTGCTCACCAGACGCCTCAGTACCCCCAGGCGCAGCACCCCCAGACTCAGTACTGCCAAGCTCAGCACCCCCAGACCCCTCACACTCAGGCTCAGCACCTCCAGGCTCCACACCCTCAAGCTCCGCACCCCCAGGCTCAGCACCCCTAGGCTCCGCACCCCCAGGCTCCGCACCCCCAGGCTCAGCACCCCCAGAAGTAGCACCCCGAGCAGGACCACCCTCAGCAGGACCTGAGTCACCAGTGACCTCAACCGGCGCAGACAAGGGAGGAGGGTCTACCTGAGACACACCTGAAGGAGCAGGACCTGGAGCGGGGAGGGGGTCTACCTGGGGAGCACCTGGAGCGAGGAAGAGCGGCGGGGGGGGGGGGAGCGGGGCAGTGCGGTAGGGGAAGAGACGGTAAAAGGGAACCGACTCATCGAACGTGACGTCCTGAGACGCAAAGACACGGCGCGAGGTGGGGTGGTAAAACTGCCAACCAGGCGCGTCAGGGACAAAGCCAAGGAAGACACAGGGAACAGCGCGGGCGGAGAGCTTGTCCGCAGTGGTATCGCGGACAAAGGCACGAGCACCCCAGACCCGGAAACGCGACGCATCGCCAACCTTCCCCGTCCACAGCAGTGTGGGCGAGGTCTCCGGCAAGGAGACACGGGGCCAAAGGTTGAGCTGATGCGCGGCGTACCGGACCGCAAACGGCCACAGAAAATGGGGGGCAGCCGCATGGATCATGGAGGTACGAGCGACCTCCATGACTAAGCCAATGCGGTGCTCAGCAACCCCATTCTGCTGCGGAGAGGCCGGAAGCGTGAACGACTGGCGGATGCCGTGCTCCGCACAGTAGGCTGCCAAGAGGTCTGAGGTGAACTCACCACCTCTGTCGGAGTGCAGACGCAGGACAGGAAAGTCCCGCTGGAACCGGTCGCGGAGCTGGAGACGAGCAGCGCGGATCCAAGGGATCAAAACAGCAGGGACGTCCCCCTTGCTCTGCAAGGGGAAGACCGTGGTGTAGCGCGTGTAGTCGTCGACAACCAGCAGGAAGTACCGCTCGTGGCCCAGTCCACGGACGCGGGCTGGGCCCCACACGTCCAGGTGGAGAGTCTGCAGGGGAGCCTCTGTGGGAGGGAACGAGGAGGAGTGAGGAGCGGCGCGCTGCCGCCCCTCGACGCAAGAAATGCAGGGCGGTGCAGGCGAGGGAGGGAGAGCAGGCAGAGACCTGGGAAGACCAGAAACCAGGGAACGAGAGTGCATGCCACGAAGGCGAGGCAGGGAGGGGTGACCAAGGCGGTGGTGCCACAGGAGAGTGTCGTGCGACAAAGCGCGACACTCGCAGGGGGCTGCCAGCTGACCAGACGTAGACGCAGACGCAGCTACCTGAGGGGACTCAGTGGTCAGTGTGTACAGACTCGAGCCAGGTGCACGGGTGAACGTGGCCAAGTGTCGGCCCGTCCGAGCACACGTACAGTGAGTCACTCGCTGACTCGCAGGAGTGAACTGGTCAACCCCCCCATCCTGGAGGTCAGCTCCACTCACCAAGTTCGTAGAGAACGAGGGGAGGTAAAGACCTGACAGGAAGCCAGACGGGACGGCCGGACACGGCAGAACCGTGGAGTAGTGGGCAAGGACTGGACCCCCAGAGGGGTCCGCCAGGGAGACCGGAACTGGCCGACTGAGCGGCGTGAGTGTGGTGCAGTCGCGAAAGAAAGAGCGAGAAGCTCCTGAGTCAAGGGTGAAGGTGTGCAAGACCGCAGCAGGCGCAGTACCAGAAAGAGCAAACTCACCAGCACCTAGAGCAGCAGTCTCACCAGCACCTAGAGCAGGAGACGCACGAGCACCTAGAGCAGCAGCCTCACCAGTACCGAGAGCAGCAGGCGCTATACCAGGGTCAGGCGGGACGCACAGGTAACAGGCACGGTCAACACTAGTAGGCAATGCATACATGGCAGTGAGAATAGCATCATAGTCAAGTGCAAAGATATCTACCCTCTGTCCATGCAGCTCCAGCCAGGTAGGGAGCTCAGCCTCGTCTCCAAACACGGTACGCCAGGCGTCGCTCAGATGGGCGAAGCAGCGGGACTGTGTGTGACCAAGCGTCCCGCAAGGCTGACCAGTCCTAACACCTGTGCGAATGACGTACGGGCAGCGAACGGTACGCGTAGACCTGCTACACTGAGTGTACCACTCCTGGAGCTGCCGGGGCGTAAGTGTCTCGCGAGGACGCCCCTGCAGCTGCAGCTGGCCACTGCCAGACGCCCCCAACTGACCAGCTCCAGGGCGACTGCTACGACGGCTACCTCGACAGCCCCAAACCCTATACCACTCATCAAGCTGCTGGGGCGTGAGAGACGCGCAGGAACGACGCTGGAGCTGCATCTGGCCACCTGCTAATAGCAGGAGTAGTAGCAGTAGCGCGGGCAGGGCAGGCGCGGCAGGCAGGCAGGCAAGCAGGCAGGCAGGCAGGCCGACAGGCAGGCAGGCAGGCAGGCAGGCAGGCAGGCAGACAAGCCGGCAGGCAGGCAGGCAGACAGGCCGGCAGGCAGGCAGGCAGGCAGGCAGGCAGACAGGCCGGCAGGCAGACAGGCAGGCAGGCAAGCAGGCAGGCAGGCAGGCCGGCAGGCAAGCAGGCAGGCAGGCAGACAGGCAGGCAGGCAGGCAGGCAGACAGGCAGGCCGGCAGGCAGGCAGGCAGGCAGGCAGACAGGCAGGCCTGCAGGCAGGCAGGCAGGTGCTCACCAAAGGCTGGAAGAGCAGGCGCTCGCCGGGCGAGCAGGGTCGGCGCTCGACGGGCGGCGGCCGAGTAGGCGCACGACAGCGGCGACGTCGGGGCCGCAACAACGGCTGCAGAGTAGGGCCGCGGCAGCTGCAGGGCGGGACCGCTTCAGCGGCAGTCGCAGGGTGGGGCCGCGTCAGCGGCAGGTCGGGGTCGCGGCAGCTGTAGGGCGGGGCCGCATCAGCGGCAGGTCGGGGCCAAGGCAGAGGGCCGCGCACGGCTCGGCGCGGGCTGCGCTGACCGCGCACTGGGCTGCTACAGGCCTCGTGCGGCCGCGCTAGGCAGTAGCGGGCCGCGCGCGGCTCGGCGCGGGCTGCTGCGGGCCGCGCGCGGGCCGCGCGAGGCAGTAGCAGGCCGCGCGCGGCTCGGCGCGGGCTGCTGCGGGCCGCGCGCGGGCCTCGCGAGGCCGTAGCAGGCCGCGCGCGGCTCGACGCGGGCTGCGTGGGCTCGGCGCGGGCTGCGCGCGGCAGCAGCGGGCTGCGCGCGGCTCGGTGCGGGCTGCGCGCGGCTGCAGCGGGCTGCGCGCGGCTCGGTGCGGGCTGCGCGCGGCTGCAGCGGGCTGTGTGGGCTCGGTGCGGGCTGCCCGCGGCTGCAGCGGGCTGCGCGCGGCTCGGTGCGGGCAGCGCGCGGCAGCAAGGGGCCTAACGGTCTGCAGGGGCTGTTCGCGGGCCTGAAGGGCGTGTAGGGGCGGCGCGCGGGCCTTACGGGCCTCTAGAAGCAGCGCGCTGGCCTAGGGCAGCAGGAGGCAGCGCTAGGGCTGCTGGACGGCGCGCGTAGTGCAGCACGTCACAAGGCAAGGCAAGGCAGGCAGGTACGTGGGGTAGCGCGGTAACTGCAGCGGTAGGTGGGCCCGAAAAAAAAAAAAACGGTCCTACGGACCTTAGTGCTCTGAAACCATGTTAGAATCTAGCAGCAGGAATGAATGAACTAGCAGGAAGATGGGTACAAGTAGGAAACCCTAATTTGGGTTGTACCCCATATGGGCTACCCCACTACAGCCTACACAATAAGCAGCATATATGTTTGACAAGTAGCGAGGGTGCACAGTTGGGATGTTCAGCGCAGAAGAGCTGTCGGAGCTGGCAGCAGTGCCAGTGCCTTGAGGGATGAGATTGCTGCCTGAGTGCTTATTGGTCCTTATCTCCCCTAAGGGCTTCTAGATAATACTGAACCAGACCATTCAGTCCTGGAAGCAGCGCCAATGCCCTGAGGGAGGAGATTGCTGCCTGAAATTATTTTTGCCCGGGCAAGTGAAACAAACACTAGTTTGTTCAGGGAGTTGAGTTGGCATAGGCAGTCAGGGAGCGGGATAAAGGTGTTGATTCCATCGCTGCTGCCTGGAGATGAGGGAGATGAGGCTCGGGCAAGTGAAACCACACTGTTGCAGCGTTGTCTGTTCGGATCCATCATTCCTTGGCCAGCGACGGTTGGTGAGAGGAGGAGAACGCATGGAGGAAGTGAGGCAGCAACAGTGGGTCTGTCTGAAGCATTTGGAGCAGCAGCAGGGGTCACAAGTAACACTTGAGTCGACTCGAAAGTCACCTCTGAAGCATATGGAGCAGCAGCAGGGGTCACAGGTGCAGCGGTAACAGATGCAGCTACATCCAGGACATCAGTTACATCGTTTCTGCTGGTACCCACTGCATCTGGTACCCACTGACTTTGAGGGAACTGATCTGCATTTTAGCAGGGACAAAGTGCACGTTGAAGATTGGTGCATTTTAGTAGGGAAACTGCATCAGGGCTGTCTTTTTAGCCTACATACGAATGAGTATCAGTCAAATCAACAGAACGGTCAAGGTTGTCGTCCATATACGATACTACTGTAGTTTCTCTTCTCCACCCAGATCCTCTCTACATACCGGCTATTACAAGTCCAACACCGCGTGCTCCAGATTATTTCTCACACGACAGCCATGCATTCTTCTCACACCAGTGAGGGGGGTCTTTTATAACAGGACGTGCTAAGGTCAGCTTTCTCAACTTGGGCAGCACTGAGATATCTGCCAGGTCCACTATGCCATGACCATTTCCCTTGGTTGACTCAAGCAATTTAAGCTTCCTAATTTTCTCCAAGCTCCTGGGAATGAAAGTCAACCTTCTGCAGTTCTCAACAATGAGAATCTCGAGGCTAGACAGCCTTGTTAGGGACTCTGGAAGCTTCAAAAGTGCCGGGCAAGAGTAGACATGCAATTCCTGCAAATTAGTCAGATTCCCGAGGCTTTCGGGAAGCTCTTGAAGCATGCAGCCGCTCAGTTCAAGCCGTGTCAGGGAGGACAGCCGGGTGAAAGTTGCCGGCAGCTGCAGCTGCTGCAGCAATCTGTCCAGAAAAAACGTCTGCAGATTGAAGAGGTTTCCGATGCCCGCTGGGAGCCTCAGTTGCGGCATGCGCGCAATGCAAAGGGTCTGGAGTGCAGTGAGACAGCAGAACGCTTCGGGCAGCTGGAAAGTTCCCTGATTTCTGCTGGAGCAGCAGTCCTTTAAGATGAATGTCTCTAGGGAAGTAAGCTGGCAGAGGGAGTCAGGAAGGAAGGTGAGAGGCAGGTGAAACAGAACTAGTATTTTCAGGGAAGGGAGTTGACAAACGGAATCAGGGAGGCGGGAGAGAGGGAGAGTGTGCAGCACCAGCGTTTTCAGGGCAGAAAGCTGAACGATGGAGTCCGGGAGGTCTGAGAGAGAAAGCTTCCGCAGCACCAGCGTCTGCAATGCACGCAAGTTCCCAAACCCCTCGGGGAGCCTCGAAATCCCAGAGCAGTGGAAAATGGTCAGGCTCTCTAGTAGCGCTAGGGTAGTGAGGGTCCGAGGCAGAACGATTTCAGAGCAGGCGAACGTATAATCTAGTGTGCCGTGAAACGTCAGCTCGCGGAGAGAAGGCAGCAACTGTCCAAAGTCACCCGGAAGGCGCAGCCAGTCTACTCGACCCATCCTGCGGCCGCTGGATGTTCGTGCAGGGCGATGTCAACGGCAAGCGATGATCGAACTTCAAAGACTTGAGACGAGGCAGCTGAGCGAGATCGAAGCCAGGAGGGCTCTCACGGGGAATCTCAGGGCGAATTTCAAGGAAGTCCTCCAAGCGGTCTCCGAAAGGGTTCTCATCTCGGCGAAAAGAGTTGATGTTGTCGGATACGGAAAGGGAGGTGATGCCTGGGAGGCGAGCGAGGTTGGCCAGCTGCTGACGTGTTGGCATGTGATTGGAGAGGAAGTGAAGGTGGGTCAGCGAAGTGAGGTTTGCTAACTCGGGAGCTTCGAGAATTGAAAGATTTGGGAGAAGGAAAGTGCGCAGATGCGTTAGCTGGTAAAAAGAAGCGCGAAGCTCAACGTCTGGATGGAGGCAGTAGAGCGAGAGCTGTTCCAGCTGAGAGCACCGTTGGAAAAACAGATCCAAGCCAGCGTCTGTGATTGGAAAGTCGTCTTTTGTTGATTCCATGTGAGCTTTTAAGAGCCGAGCAGTAAAGCCGATTTCATCCTCCGCCACACGTGACGTTCCGATGTGAAGAATCTTTAGCTGAGGGCATGACGAGGCGAGGCGAGAGAGGAAGGCGTCATCGATAGTGTTCACGCGGCCGCCGCTCAGATGGAGATGGGTTAGATTCGGGAAGAGATCGAGACTGCTCGCCAGTGCTAGGCTAGAAACGGAGGGTTTGCCGCTGTCGAGGAGAAGAGCGTTGACGTATTGGCGGCAGAGACGGCGCCAGCGACGGCAGAGGGAGGATATTAGGAGAATGTGGTCGACGCTCGCAGAAGGGAGGAGCTTCGGTAACGGCGTCTCGCCCTCGTCATGACACCTTGCCTTCTCACTCGAGCTGTTTGCAGAAAGGTACTTCGGAGACGGCGACAAGGAAAGAAGGTCCCATAAGTCGTCGCTGTCCGATTTCCTGGGCTGGGGCTGCTCGAACAGCTCGTAACAGAATAAGATTCTCCCGAGTATGTCATCCGGAAGCGCATCTATGTTCGTGGGAGTCTCCATTGGCTCCTGCTGGGTCGATTATATCTTTGCGAGCTGAAGCGAGACTGAGGATAGTTGCGGACGAGAGCTGAGCTAAGGAGACGGGATTCAGAAACGTTGAAGAGAAAGTCGATAGCATATGAAGACGGAAAGATCAAGATGATAGAAAGATTCAGAAATGAGAGACCAAGAACTGTGGAGGAAAATCCAGAGGAGCTAATTATTCTAGGAAGAAGACGAGCGACTCGGAATGGAAATTATGTCTCGCTTCTGTTTAGCACGGCATCTTGGCATGGCGCCCTCATGCCATACCCTGTTGGATTCGAAAAGATGACGAAGATAGGAAAATCCGAGCTGGCAAGTGTTTCGGAGTAATGGTAGTTTTCCTTCCCTGCTCGAGAGATTGTAGACAGCAGCAGCGGTTGCTGCGAGAAATGCGAGACCGGAGCTGAAAAATATCAGCGTTGAAAAAAGAGTGGAGAAAGGGGAGGGGAGGGTAAGGACGCGTCCCATCAACGTCGATCCTGCGATCGAGCCTACGTAGGTTAGAAAATTTGCGTGGTTAAAAATACTTCTCAAAGTCTCAAATGCGATGCGCGTAGTTTGAGTGCGGTGGAAGATTGAATTTCCACGTAGTTCGATCACAGGATCGCCGTTCAGGGGACGCGTCCTAAATGGAAGGGATGTGTGTGTGGGGAAGGAGAGGTGGGGGGGGGGGGGGGATGGGGATGTGGGGTGGAGAAAGGGAGAACAAGGAGAAGGGGGGATTATACGGGAATAGGAGGGTGCTGGGAAGGGGGAAAGAGGTACGTGTACGGTACAAGCAGGGCCAACATCATAGACATGCAAATTAGTGTGGTAACCCTATCCAATGGTATGCAAAACCGTCTTACCTCTGTTTGCAAGTTATTGACATGCTGCCCTGAAAGCGCGTTCGTTTTTAATTCAAATTTGATCTTTACCGCGCTTGCCTTCGCGCTAAGACGTGATTTCTTCGGGCCAAGAAAAAAATAAAACCCGATCGGAAAGGGATGCGTCAGGGAGGCATCAACCCTAAAAACAATGTCCTTTCCCGTGTTTAGGGTTGATCCCTCCCAGAAATGCGTCCAGGTCCCTAGGGGTTTTATTGTTTTTCTGCCCTGCCCCTACATTTCCCGGTAGCAATATATTGGTCCAAATTAATGTTATCGAAATGGACCCCGTAGCCTTTCATTCCAGTGGATTTTTCGTCACATTTAGCGGAAAATAGTAGCCGGCAGGAATATTTGTTAGGCGCCGAACAAGACGCGGTAAGAACCACGACGATACGAAATCGAAAACGCAACTGATTCAATCACATATTTTCTTCTTCTTTTTCTGTGCTGCGTCAGCTGTTACACAGTGTTTTGAGTGGCGCTACCAGACAATTTTGCGCAGCAGAACTGGGGTATCGACGGTTTTGCATACCATCGAATAGGGTTACCAGACTAATTTGCATGTCTATGATGTTGGCCCGTACAAGCAGGTGTGAGGAGCGGATGTAATAGGTTTGGAGAGGTCAGGGTGATGTTTTCGATTGGTTTTCGAGCATTCGGGGTGTGGTGTGCTTGTTCAATTACGGTTCGGTGTGGTTTGGTATGTTTTGGTGTGGTGGAATGTAGTGTTGTGTGGTGTGGTGTGGAGGCTCGGTGACAAACCCCGAACCTGACGCGCCCTGGAGGAACTAGTCGACGGCCCGTCGGCTCGAACTCACACAGATAGTCAAGTAAACGCTCAAGTTTCGCATTATTCTAAGAGCCTCTGCTCCGTACCAGAAACAGTATGCAAGCTCACGCTCGTGTTTTGACACCATACGGCTCCCCCCGCCTGGCTGTTCACTTTTCTCAAAACCGAAGCCTAATCTTCCTTTCAAAGAATCCGTCTTTTCTTTCATTGACCGTATCGAATTATTTTTGTCACGAGATAAACGCGGAGTTCCCCATATTCTCTCGATGCGAGCCTGAAAAGAGGCCCGGCAAAAGCGCCGGAGGCTCGGGATGAGTTGCACGGAATTGTCCGAGGCTGATAGCACCCCACCCACAACAGCCTCCCTCCCATCAGATAACTCCTCGATGATATCCCGCAAGGAGATGCCGACAGATCTACCTTCCCTAGATCCTACCTCAATTTGCGGCGTAGGTCGCGCCGCCAATGCTCTCGCAACCGACGACGCCGCAAATGCCGCCGCAGATGCCGCGAGCCCCGCGTCCGACGCCGCCGCCGCCGTCCCCTCTAGTGCCGCCGCAGGAGGCGCGACGATCGGCGGCGCTACGAATCCAGAAGGTTCTACTATGGAACCTGATTCGGACGAGCGCGTGTGGCGCAAGGTGCCGTTAGAGTCAGCCGACCATCAGCACAATGCCAACGCTACAGCAGATGCCCACGCTACAGCTGATGCCCTCGATGCCGATTCAAGTGGCGAGCGCGTGTGGCGCAAGGTGCTGTATTTGCGACAGCCGTTCGACGACACGCACACGGGCCCGCGAGGTGCTGTAGAACCCGATACCCTTGATTCCAGAGGCCAGTGCGAGTCAGATCCAGCGTCAGAGTCTCCGCGCGTGTGGCGCAAGGTGCCGTCGGAATCGCCTGATGATGCCAGTGGCGAGCGCGTGTGGCGCAAGGTGCTGTACCTGCGACAGCCGTTCGACGACACGCACACGGACCCGCGCACCTTCCTCGCCGACATGCGCACCAACGCCGGCGTCGTCAAGCCGCGCTACTGGTCGCTCGTGCGCGACTCGTCGGTCCTCACGCTCCAGGTAACGTCCTACCACGTTTCTCTTGTCACTCCTTCCTCCCTTCCTGCTCTTTCTCTCTCCTCTCGTTCCTCCCCCCCCCCCCCCCCCCCCCCCCCCCCCCTCTCCTCCCCCTCTCTCCCACCCGCGCACCTTCCTCGCGGACATGCGCACCAACGCCGGTGTCATCAAGCCGTGCTGCTGGTCGCTCGTGCGCGACTCCTCCGTCCTCACGCTGCAGGTACACTCTTCTGACCTCCCCCTCCCCTCCCCTCCCCTCCCCTCCCCTCCCCTCCCCTCCCCTCCCCTCCCCTCCCCTCCCCTCCCCTCCCCTCCCCTCCCCTCCCCTCCCCTCCCCTCCCCTCCCCTCCCCTCCCCTCCCCTCCCCTCCCCTCCCCTCCCCTCCCCTCCCCTCCCCTCCCCTCCCCTCCCCTCCCCTCCCCTCCCCTCCCCTCCCCTCCCCTCCCCTCCCCTCCCCTCCCCTCCCCTCCCCTCCCCTCCCCTCCCCTCCCCTCCCCTCCCCTCCCCTCCCCTCCCCTCCCCTCCCCTCCCCTCCCCTCCCCTCCCCTCCCCTCCCCTCCCCTAACCTCCCCCCCCTCCCCTCCCCTCCCCTAACCTCCCCTTCCCTCCCCTAACCTCCCCTCCCCTCCTCTCCCCTCCCCTCCTCTCCCCTCCCCTCTCTCCCCTCCCCTGCTCTCCCCTCCCCTCTCCTCCCCTCCCCCCCTCCCCTCCCCTCCCCTGCTCTCTCTCCCCTCCCCTCCACTCCCCTCCCCTCCCCTTCCCTCCTCTCTCCTCCCCTCCTCTCCCTCCCCTCCTCTCCCTCCCTCCTCTCCGCTCCCCTCCACTCCCTTTCCCTCCCCTTCCCCTCCCCACCCCACCCCACAAGGTGCAAACTTGTCTTAAGCCTTGAAGCTGTTGCATCCCTTCCCCTCCTCCTCTCCTTTCTCCTCCCCTCCTCCCCTCCCATTTCCAGATGCCCCTCGTCTCGTCTCCGCCCTGGTGGTCGTCTCGCTCTTCCTCGCTGCTGAGTTTTGAGACGTCTCAAAACTCGCTCTCCCTCGCTGCTCTTGTGCTGCTCTCAGATGTTCCTCTTGTCTTCCTCGGCCCGCACCGCCTCTCCGCGGTGCGGTGAGGGGAGGGGAGGGTCGGCCCGCACCGCCTCTCCGCCCAAACTCTCCTCCTCCTCGACTCGCGCTCCCGTCACACATGCTCTCCACAACCCCCACCCACCACCCCCCCCCCCCCCCCCTCCTCCCTTCCTCCCCTCCTCCTTCTTTCTCCCCTTCCCCTTCCCCCCTCTTCCCCTGTTCCACAGCCCACCTCACACGTCACACATGCTCATATCACCTCCCAATCCCCTGTTCCCAGATGTTCCTACCCTCTGCCTCTGCACAGTTAAAGGGCCCCTGTGCCTCTTCCCGCAACAGAGGGCCCCTGTGCCTCTTCCCGCAACAGAGGGCCCCTGTGCCTCTTCCCGCAACAGAGGGCCCCTGTGCCTCTTCCCGCAACAGAGGGCCCCTGTGCCTCTTCCCGCAACAGAGGGCCCCTGTGCCTCTTCCCGCAACAGAGGGCCCCTGTGCCTCTTCCCGCAACAGAGGGCCCCTGTGCCTCTTCCCGCAACAGAGGGCCCCTGTGCCTCTTCCCGCAACAGAGGGCCCCTGTGCCTCTTCCCGCAACAGAGGGCCCCTGTGCCTCTTCCCGCAACAGAGGGCCCCTGTGCCTCTTCCCGCAACAGAGGGCCCCTGTGCCTCTTCCCGCAACAGAGGGCCCCTGTGCCTCTTCCCGCAACAGAGGGCCCCTGTGCCTCTTCCCGCAACAGAGGGCCCCTGTGCCTCTTCCCGCAACAGAGGGCCCCTGTGCCTCTTCCCGCAACAGAGGGCCCCTGTGCCTCTTCCCGCAACAGAGGGCCCCTGTGCCCTGGGGGGGTGTCCTCTACTTCATTCTCGACTCCCACCTCCTCCCCGTTCATGCTGTTTTCCTTCCATTTCTCCTCCCATCCCCAGATGTTCCTGGTATCAGCCCTGGTGGTCGTCTATTTGTTCCTCGACTCGCATCGCCTCTCCGCCTGAACGCTCTTCCCCCTGTTCCCCTCACATAGCACACATGTTAATGTTCCCTCCCACCCCCTCTTTTTGCAGATGTTCCTAGTATCAGCCCTGGTGGTCGTCTATTTCTTCCTCGACTCGCATCGTCTCTCCGCCCGAACGCTCTTCCTGCTCGACTCGCTCTCCCTCGCTGCCGGTGTGCTGCTCTCCTCCCTCGCCTCCCTGCGCCTGCAGCGCCACAAACGCCTGCAGCAGCAGTTGGAAGGCGGAATGTTTGATCCATGCTCACTGTTCCTCCCATGTTCCTCGCTTTCCCTCCTCCCATCCCCAGATGTTCCTCGTATCAGCCCTGGTCGTGGTCTATTTCTTCCTCGACTCCCACCGCCTCTCCGCCCGAACGCTCTTTCTGCTCGACTCGCTCTCCCTCGCTGCCGGTGTGCTGCTCTCCTCCCTCGCCTCCCTGCGCCTGCAAAGACACAAACGCCTGCAGCAGGGGGTGTAGTGGGAGCAACTGAAACAGCAGCAGTTGAAAGGCGGAATGTTTCTCCCATTCTCGCATTTTCCTCACATTTCCCTCCCCATTCCTCCTCCCATCCACAGATTTTCCTCGTTTCCGCCCTCGTGGTTGTCTATTTCTTCCTCGACTCACATCGTCTCTCAGCCCGCCGGTATGCTGCTCTCCTCCCTCGCCTCCCTTCTCCCTGCAGAGGCACAAGCGCCTGCAGCAGCACTTGGAAGCGGAAATTTTTTATTTCAATCCCATATGTTGCCTTGCCCGTATTCTGCTCCCATACTTCCTCCCTCAAACCCCTGTATCCCCAGATGTTCCTAGTAATCAGCCCTGGTCGTGGTCTACTTTTTCCTCGACTCACATCGCCTCTCCGCCCGAACGCTCTTTCTGCTCGACTCGCTCTCCCTCGCTGCCGGCGTGCTGCTCTCCTCCCTCGCCTCCCTGCGCCTGCAAAGACACAAACGCCTGCAGCAGCACTTGCAAGGCGGAATGTTTGATCCATGCTCACCTCACCTGTTCGTCCCATGTTCCTCGCTTTCCCTCCTCCCATCCCCAGATGTTCCTCGTATCAGCCCTGGTCGTGGTTTATTTCTTCCTAGATTCCCACCGTCTCTCCGCCCGCACGCTCTTTCTGCTCGACTCGCTCTCCCTCGCTGCCGGTGTGCTGCTCTCCTCCCTCGCCTCCCTGCGCCTGCAAAGGCACAAACGCCTGCAGCAGCACTTGAAGGGGGAGCACCTGAAACAGCAGCAGAACCAGCAGCAGCAGGTCCAGGAGCAGCAGCAAACGCACCCATCTGCACCACAATCCACCCCTCCTCCTTCCTCCACTCCCCCCTCCCCAACCCCATCCCTCCCACCTCCCACCCTCCTCGATCTCCTCTCTGCCTCTCGCCTCCCTCGCCTGATTGTCGATTGTTCGATCTTTGTGTTTGGTCTCTACCTCCTCTCCCCCATCCTCCACACTCTCACTCAGTCTATCAGCTCAGACACAGTTGTCTCCTGTACCACCCTCCTCTTCCTCCTACACCTCTTCTTCCACGATTATAATTACTCTACCGCAGCTACACTCTCCTTTTCCGGGAATTTATCGTTAATGTCTGCGATTTACGCGTCTGTGCTGCTGGCTTCCCGGCTTAGCACCACCGCGCAAGTCTATGCGTTTATGTGGCTGGCTTTAAGTGTTTTCAGCCTGCTCCCGTCGCTGCTGCACCACTGGCGGCGCGCTAATCCGCAAACGCACCGCGTGCTTGTATGGGGGATGAAAGCGGTGGCTTTGGCAGTGCTGATGGCGTGGCATAAGGGGTTTGCAGTGGTGGTGGTGGTTGCGGCGGCAGCGGTAACCTACGTGTTTCCGCTTCTCTTTGTATACATGCACAAAGAAAAGCAATTTATCAAAGGGCCGTGGGATGAAGCCCAACCAGGGACAAGCAGCAGTTGACAGTAGGACTGGCACAGTGGCATGGAAGCAAGCAGCAGCAGCAGCAGCAGCAGCGCCATTAACCTCATGGGTTCTTCTTCCTCTGGCGTTCTCTTCGTATACATGCACAAGGAGAAACGGTTTATTAAAGGGCCGTGGGATGAAGCCCAACCAGGGACCAGCAGCAGTTGATAAAGGCACTGTTGGATGGAAGCAGAAACAGCACTGTTTGCAGGCAAGAGAAGTTAGGAACAAACAGCACTGTTTCTTACATTATACTAGCTTGTGTGCATGTATACATTGACAAGGAAAAAATCATTATCGAAGGACCATGGGATCTGATGAGACCCATCCAGGGATAAACAGCAGTTGACAATGGTACCTGTCCCTGTTGACAATGGTCAACAGCAGTTGACTAGTTGGTTGCTTGTCCCTGTTATAAGCAGGGACCTTCCTGACAGGGAAGAATCCGCAGCGTAACTTGCATCGGTGGGTCCTCCTTTCTTCCTCTTTGACTGCAAGGGTTCTTCCTGACTGTCTCTATATGTACATGCACATATGCATAAGGACTACACTGTGGTACGATACGCTACAGACCAGCTGGGCAGAGTTTATTTTGGCCATATGCTCAACGACAGTACAGTACATGTAGCTATGTTTCAATGCATGGAAAAACATATTGTAAATGTACCGTACAATGCATCGAAATGTACTCCACAAAAATTATTACACCCTGTCGTTCTGTGCAACCTACTGGCAAAATGCCAGTGCTTCTGCAACAGAGAGAAACAGCCATTCCTCACCCAACTCCTCCATAAACCCCGAGAGAGCCAGCTTTCGGAGCAGGACAGTGGCTGGATTGGTGAGCACCAGCTGCACCTGATGGCGATGCAACATGCTCAGCAGGTCTTGTAACGCATGGATGGCTGTTGTGTCGATGTCGGTTACTGATGTGCAATCCAGCACCACATGCTGCCGTGAGGAAGGGAAAGAAATATGCAAACGGGGAAGAGGCGAGAAGAATACGGAGGAGACTGCATCTAGAAATGCCAAGGATAAATCATCGCCATTGTGTGAATGGCAGTTACTCATGTGCCGAAGGGAACTTGAGTGTGGACAGCTGTGTGAGTGAGAGTAGCGATATCCCCATCCGAACTACCCACATTCTCTATCTGTGAGGCGTCTCATTGTGAGCCGCCTATGCGGGGTACCTTATAATCATACTCTTTAATCAACAGCACCACCTTCACCTCCCCCTGAATCACTCATGCCCCCATGCCCTCATGCCCTCATGCCCACATGTCCCATGCCCCCATCCACTCATGCCCCCATACCCACATGCCCTCATAAACAAATGTGAACACAACCCCCCTCACCGTGATTCTCTTCTCGTCACCACGCGCACTCCTCTCCACCGCTCTCAACACCCGCTGCCGCACATAGCTCGCAGAGGGAAAGAGCAGCGGTCCATCCACCCTCATCACCCACACCCCCTCTACCTCCTCCGCATCCCCATACTGCTCCACACTTCTGTACACCCCCGTACCCTTTATAAGCCCCAGAGTCGGCAGCTTCGGCCGCGCCACCAGCACGAAGAACTTGAGCATAGAAACGAGGACGCCTATAAGGAGTCCGATTTCCATGGAGACAAAGAGAATCCCCAAGGCAGTCCCTAGAGTGATGAGAAAATCGACCTTGTCGGTTCTTAAGATAACAGCCATGGCTGTAAAATCCACCAATCCCGCAACAGCAACTATGATGATTGCAGAGAGGGTGGCTGTAGGGAGGTACTGAAACGCGGGCGTAACTGCGGCGATCGTGATTAAAACGAGCGCCGACATAATCACGTTGGTCAGCGCGGTTTTCCCGCCGGAATTGTAATTGACAGCGGATCTCGAGAACGACCCGGTAACCACGTAAGTCGAGGAAAAGGAGCCGCCGATATTCGCCATGCCGAGAGCGATCATCTCGCGGTTACCATCCATTTTGTAACCCTCTAACGTTGCAAACATCCTCGCGATCGCTGTCGCTTCTGCCAGAGCGATCAGCGCGGCGACAATCCCTATGGACGCGGCGGCCGCGCAATCAGGCCCCGACAGCTGGAGCTGAGTCAGCGAGCCGAATGAGGCGACGCCAGCTGGCAGGGGTTTGACGGTGGGGATGCTGTAGGGGGGTTTGTTTCCACCGCCCAGGAGGAAGACGGCGAGGGAGGTGGCGGTGACTGCGAGGATCGGGCCGAAGCAGTTGAGGTAGAAGAGGGGCCTGCCGAGCCTCGGGTGGGGCTTGAAGCGGTGTGCCTGTGTGTAGGGTTCGGGATGGGATGGGAGTGTTGAACAGAACAGAGGGGGAGGGGGGAAGGGGGTCGAGTGAACAGGGCAGTTGAGGCTGAACAGCAGCCTGCTGAGCTTTCGAATCGGCTCAGAATTCACGTTTCGAGTCAACTCGGGATTCCAACTTTCGAGCTGATTTAAAAATCATCTCGAGTTGACAGTTGTCTGATAGAAAGTGGAGGCGGGTCGTACCAGAAAGCGGAGAGAGAGGAGAAAGAGAAGCACGGCCATGCCGATGACAAACGCCCGCCAGTTGAACTGCAAGGGAGGGGAGGTGAGGGGACGGGAGGGAGGAGGCTTTTGAGTTGACGCAGGGGTGTGGTGTGAGTTGATGCGAGGACTGGTTGCTACCCACATCTGACCAACCCGGTGAGAGCGACTTATCCGGGAGACTGACTCACCAGATCACGTGTTGCTGGACTGGAGACATAGCCAAGGACAGACTGGTGGCAGCTTTGCTGGTGTTTTTTGTTGCTACCTGCACAGCACTCACCAGATACGTGTTGCTGAAGACATATCCCAGCACCGACTGCACGTTCGCTTTTGTCGTGAAGGTCGCATACCCAAGCAACCCCTTCAGCTGCTGCAGCCCGATCGTGACCGCCGCTCCCCCCATGAACCCCACAACCACCGGGTGGCACAGCAAATCCACCACAAACCCCAGGCGCAGCAGCCCCATTGCCAACTGAACCACCCCCGCAAAAAAGGTCGATGTGAAGGCAAGGTGGAGGTATTGTGTGGGCTGAGACTCGGGGCTGTAGTGCGAGGAGAGGAGTTCTCCCATGAGGAGGGAGACGATGGCGACTGGTGCTATGGCCATGTGACGGGATGTGCCGAATATGGCGTAGAGGGATGGAGGGATGAAGCTGCCGTCTGGGTGTGGGGGAGGGGGAGAACAACGGGAGTGCAGGGTTGGGATGGGGTGGATGGAGGGGAGGCAGGCAATGAGTAGGAGAGGGGCAACAAGGGTGAATGTGGGAGGAGGAGGGTTGGGAGTCTGAGTGTGCGTGGAGAGGAGTTCTCCCATGAGGAGGGAGACGATGGCGACTGGTGCTATGGCCATGTGGCGCGATGTGCCGAATATGGCGTAGACGGTGGGGGGGATAAAGCTGCCATCTGAATGGGGATTGAAGGGGTTTGAGTTGGGAAAAGAGTTGGGGGAATAAGCAGGGGTTGCGAGTCTTTATCGCAGCCAAGGGTTTGCATTGTACTACGAAAGCGTGACTGGCTGGATGTTGGGGTTTGCAATGCTCACGCAAGGCATTGAGGTGTATTTTGAGGCGCCTCAAAATGCATTGTACTACGAAGTGTGACTGGCTGGATGTTGGGGTTTGCAATGCTCACGCAAGGCCTTGGGTTCATGGGAGGGTGAGAGAAGGAAAAGACGGGAGGAGATTCTGGAGAGAAAAATGGGTGAGGAAGTAAAGGAAAGCGGGTGGCCCATACTGAATCAGTTTTTTTGAAAACTCTAAAAAAACAGAAACAATGGAAAGCGAATGGTCCATACTGAAAAGCGAGTTAAGGAAATAGGAGTTGAAGTGGGCGAGAAATATGAACACTGTGTTCTTTGATACGTCTCAAATGCGGGAAGGAGGGCCAGGGAGACGGGAGGAGAGGCAAGCAGCAGGTGAAGTGAGGTGGGCGGTAGGGTAGGATAACGAGGGAGAGATGTACAGAGGCCGTTGATTGGAGGCATGTGCGCCAGTTGCGCGTATCCCAGATCCTGCCAATGGCAGAGGCGGGATGGGGAGAGTGGCGCAGGCAAGGGTGGAGGGAGAGAGGCTGAGTGACGTATCAAACTCCGAAGCAGCACAGGGAGAGCAGCAGAGGGAGAGCAGCACAGGGAGAGCAGCACAGGGAGAGCAGCACAGGGAGAGCAGCACAGGGAGAGAAGCACAGGGAGAGCAGCACAGGGAGAGCAGCACAGGGAAAGCAGCACAGGGAGAGCAGCACAGGGAGAGCAGCAGAGGGAGAGCAGCAGAGGGAGAGCAGCAGAGGGAGAGCAGCACAGGGAGAGCAGCAGAGGGAGAGCAGCACAGGGAGAGCAGCACAGGGAGAGCAGCACAGGGAGAGCAGCACTGGGAGAGCAGCACAGGGAGGACAGCACAGGGAGAGCAGCACAGGGAGAGCAGCACAGGGAGAGCAGCACAGGGAGAGCAGCACAGGGAGAGCAGCACAGGGAGAGCAGCACAGGGAGAGCAGCACAGGGAGGACAGCACAGGGAGAGCAGCACAGGGAGAGCAGCACAGGGAGAGCAGCACAGGGAGAGCAGCACAGGGAGAGCAGCACAGGGAGAGCAGCACAGGGAGAGCAGCACAGGGAGAGCAGCACAAGGAGAGCATCCTAGTAGCTCCCGCAGGTTATTCCCTCCGGATTTCTTCGATACCATCTTCACAAGCGGCTAGCGGTTAGCGTCTGAACTCAAGCAGTTAGCAGTCAGCTGCTGACCAAGCGGCTAGTGGTTCGACAGCAAGAGGTTAGTGCATGAGTTTCATGCTGTGAAAGAAAGCGTTATTTTGTGAAAGCAAGGGTTGTTTGTGACAGCAAAGGTCATTTTGTGACAGCAAGGGTTATTTTGTAACAGCAGAGGTTAGCACGGTACCATCACCGGGCTTTACCTTGGGGATGGCGAGGCTGTTGATAGTGAAGCCGGCGACTAGTACTACCTGACTGCAAGCGGTTAATGTGTGAACTCAAGCGGTTAATGTGTGAACTCAAGCGGTTAATGTGTGAACTCAAGCGGTTAATGTGTGAACTCAAGCGGTTAATGTGTGAACTCAAGCGGTTAATGTGTGAACTCAAGCGGTTAATGTGTGAACTCAAGCGGTTAATGTGTGAACTCAAGCGGTTAATGTGTGAACTCAAGCGGTTAATGTGTGAACTCAAGCGGTTAATGTGTGAACTCAAGCGGTTAATGTGTGAACTCAAGCGGTTAATGTGTGAACTCAAGCGGTTAATGTGTGAACTCAAGCGGTTAATGTGTGAACTCAAGCGGTTAATGTGTGAACTCAAGCGGTTAATGTGTGAACTCAAGCGGTTAATGTGTGAACTCAAGCGGTTAATGTGTGAACTCAAGCGGTTAATGTGTGAACTCAAGCGGTTAATGTGTGAACTCAAGCGGTTAATGTGTGAACTCAAGCGGTTAATGTGTGAACTCAAGCGGTTAATGTGTGAACTCAAGCGGTTAATGTGTGAACTCAAGCGGTTAATGTGTGAACTCAAGCGGTTAATGTGTGAACTCAAGCGGTTAATGTGTGAACTCAAGCGGTTAATGTGTGAACTCAAGCGGTTAATGTGTGATATCACGCGGTTAATGTGTGAAATCAAACGGATTGTGTGCGACTGCCAGAGGTTAGCATGGTACCTGAGGGATGGCAAGGCTGGTGATGGTGAACCCGGCGACTAGTAGTGCGTGACAGCCAGCGGTTAATGGTGAGATGAAGCGGTTATTGTGTGACAGCCAGCGGTTAATGGTGAGATGAAGCGGTTATTGTGTGACAGCCAGCGGTTAATGGTGAGATGAAGCGGTTATTGTGTGACAGCCAGCGGTTAATGGTGAGATGAAGCGGTTATTGTGTGACAGCCAGCGGTTAATGGTGAGATGAAGCGGTTATTGTGTGACAGCCAGCGGTTAGCATGTAACCTGGGGGATGGCGAGGCTGGTGATAGTGAACCCAGCGACCACGTCACCCGGGAGCCACGTCAGCTGGTACTCCGACATCCACTGCAGGATCGGGAACACGTGGAAGAGCGCCCGTCTGACGCGCTCCAGACAAGATCCGCACCCTCGGCTCCGAAATTCGCTCCTGAGTTCGGCGCGCGAGGGGAAACGGCCGTCGTCGATATCTAGGAGGGCCTTGATCGGAGCGACGGCGTCGACGAGTTCGTCTTTAAGAGACTCAGGCGGAATGACCACTCGCTGCTGCGATACTCCGACTCCATCTTGCTGCGGGTTTTGCTGCCAGTCTTGCTGTGGCTGTTCGAATTCGGGTCGCTCTATGTCATCCTTCGCTAGGGTTTCAGATTCTGGCGAATTTTGTAACATCACTCGCATTTCGCAGCCCTCGTGACGTCTCCCGCCGGTCGCTTCATGAGTGTTTCCGTTAGAAGCCATTCGAAGGCACAGAAACGAGTCGCGCAGTTGTGTCAATGCCTTCGCCGCGGAAAACGGTTTGCCGGACCGAACAGCACTGAAGTCCCAAATAGAAATTGTGACGAATCGGAGCTCCTGATTTGAGCACTTCAAAAGCTCCAGGTTCTCCACGGAAGCCCTTGCGACGTCAACAATGAGTGGGGACTACAAAATCCTGAACGGAACCCAGAAGCCGTAGCCAAAAAGAGAACTTTCGCAAATGAGACTGACGGGAAGCTTGACTGGCGCCGATGACACGAATGAGCTTCCATCAAGGAAGAAGTACAGTCGAAAACGGTGACTATCTCGTAGTGCTCATCGCAAGTGCCTATATTACAGAGGCTTCTGGGAAGAGGAATGGTGGAGGCGGCTGGAGGAGAGAGGGCGAGTGAAGCAGCGCAAATGTAGGGAAAACAGGGTCACCCTTGCACGGTGCAAGAAAAAGCAGGTAATGCCTTTACCTGGCGAGAGGACAGACAGACGCGTCATCTACAGACTCCTCCTGACTCTGAGTGCCATGGCCGCTGGCTTTTGAGGGTCATGAAAGTCATCACGAAGGCCATGGTGGTGACTTCTGGGGACCGAAATGAGATGCTGCACTGAATTGGAAGCCAAAAGCCAAAAGCCAGAAGACTCGCTCATTCATCGCTTTACAGCACAAGTCAAGTTAGGACGTCAAATCCCTTGTGTAGCAGCCCTCAGGTATAGCCCTAGGACGCGTTGCATTCTCAGGGTCGTCGAACTCCCTTCCCCGTGAGGACAGCACGATCGATACCAGCACCCTGGCATGTCGATCCCCAGAAACACCTTGCGCGGGATTGCGATAAGCGAACTGCTGCTCAATTGTTACGAATCCAGTAACGATGTCAAAACAGATCGTTTAGGGGATGTGTCCTGAACATGTAACGCGTCTTCCCTAAATTGTTGGTGATGGGTTGCCCCTTGGGTTGTGTTTGGCTCCAGGCCCGACTCTTTTTGGAGTCCCCGAATAGGCAGCCAAATCGCTGGGAACGTAAAGGGACAACTCCACTTTCGCCACAAAGGCGTGGTGCAATAGCGCCAAACGACACTCAATACCGTACCAAAAATATTTAGAATGCTTTCACATGTACCTTCAAGCCGAGGAAATTTGAATAAGGGTAAAAAAATCTTTGACAAGGTTGTGTGACATCAATCTATTTTTTCGTTTCGATGTTCCCATGAAAAGAGTTCATTGCATCGTATGCTTAGGGTGCGTTCCTGGCTAGTGTCAAACTTCCGGTCTTCCCGGGATGACACGAAGCTCGCCCCACAGCTCGCCCCACTTCGGGTCTTCCCTAAAAAATTTGTCCCTAGCTCGGAAAACACGAAGTTTGGCCGCGCCAGGAACGCGCCCTTAGAAGTCATCCAGGGCCACACCTCGTTCCGTATGTAAGCACGCCTCATTCTGACATATGAAGCGCGTGGCTGATGCTTGTGAGTGACCAAACTTCACGATTAAAGCTGATGAGTACAGTCGGACAATGTCCCACACCCTTACAAATGCCATGCCAACGCCATCATTAACTCAGTGTGTTTATGATATTGTCTTGCACACACAGCAATGCGCATGCACATGCACTGCTCCATAAAGAATACTGGAATACAATACACTATATTATTGAAAAGGTCATGCAGCTCGTGCTATAGCTTGCTCAACCTCTTCCTTGGTGTATAGGTGATAAGTAGGTGCAACTTTAGCAATGTCCACATTAGTTGCTGACACCTGCAGGCAAAACCATGTGAAAGGGCGAGGATAAAAAATTAGCCAAAAAAAACAAAACTAACAAAAGTGCAGGACAATGGTCATGCCCGGGCATACAAGAAACGAACTGAATGTGAGTGGGGCGGTGGGGGGGGAGGAGGGGGAGGTTGTGGCAGCTGTGGGGCACATATCACTTGCATGCACGAGTGAAAATCATGCATCATGCTCCATGCGAGTGAGCATCGTATATCGCAGCACCTATGGACCTTGGGAGAAAAGAAAAAAGTATTTCCATCCATGCATCAACCTACTACCCTCCTTTCTCCCTTCCCCTCCCACCCTTCCCTCACTTCCGTGCCCTACCTGCCTTTTCTTCCCTCCGCTGCCAGGCCTACCTTCGCCTCTATGACTTGCTTGAGAGTAGACACTGCCAGCGCCTCTGCCTCCTACAGGCTGTTCATGTCATTCACATCGTTACATGCCTTAAGTACCTTCTCATCCTGCCTTCTCCCTCCCGCCCTTGCCCGCCCTGCATTCGCTTCCCTCCCCTGCCCGCCCTACCTTCTCTTCCCTCCCCTGCCCGCCCTACCTTCTCCTCCATGACTTGCTTGAGAGTAGACAGTGCCAGCGTCTCTGCCTCCTCAAAGCTGCTCATGTCCTGCCCCACATGCTTACATACCTTCGCTATCTTCTCATCCTCTTCTCCCTCCCGTACCCTCCCCACCCTTTTTCCCCACCCATGCCGTCCCTACCTTCTCTCCCCCTCCCCTGCCCGCCCTACCTTCTCTTCCATGACTTGCTTGAGAGTAGACAGTGCAAGCGTCTCTGCCTCTTCCAGAGTCATGTCCTGCCACACATGACATGGTCGCACGGTGAAATGGTTACATGGAAGCAAGTGAACAGGGAAAGGGCAAACGCATTATGTATGAAACATAAGGGGTTTAATGCTTGAAAGTAGGCAGTGCCAGCGTCCCTGCCTCTTCCAGAGTCATGTACTGCCACACATGATCAAACACATTATTATACAGTGACACGGTTACATAGTTGCATGGCACGATGGTTACAATGTAACATGTTTTACTCGTGCACAGCGGTTACATTCTGTTTGGGAATGTTCATGGTGACAACAGACTTCTTGTTACAACAGAAGTCGTGTTACAACAAAACCTGAGTTTCAACAGAACCTGAGTTTCAACAAAACCCGAGTTTCAACAAAACCTGAGTTTCAACAAAACCTGAGTTTCAACAAAACCTGTGTTTCAACAACAAATTGTGTGTAATAACAACAGACTGCGTGTTACGACAGAACCTGCGTCAGAGCCCACACGCACCTTGTTGTAGCTGTCCTGCAGGTTCGCCTGAGCCCCCTCAGTGCCAGCCCCAATGGCCTTGGCGTCGTAACGTACGAACGTGCCTGATGGGTCCGTGTGGTACCTGGTGCGAGCAGGGACAAGAGGGAGGGGTGGGGGGTGGGTGGGTGGTTGTGGCAATGGCAACTCATTTAATGGCAGCAGAACAAGTGCCAGCCCCAATGGCCTTGGCGTCGTAACGCATGAACGTGCCTGATGGGTCCGTGTGGTACCTGGTGCGAGCAAGGAAGGGGGTGGGGAGGTGTAGCAATGGCAACCAAATGAATGGCAGACCAATCCATAACAGCACCCTCTGGCATCGTAACACACGAACGTGCCTGATGGGTCCGTGTGGTACCTGGTGCGAGCAGGGAGAAGAGGGAGGGGTGGGGGGTGGGTGGGTGGTTGTGGCAATGGCAACTCATTTAATAGCAGCAGAACAAGTGCCAGCCCCAATGGCCTTGGCGTCGTAACGCATGAACGTGCCTGATGGGTCCGTGTGGTACCTGGTGCGAGCAAGGAAGGGGGTGGGGAGGTGTGGCAATGGCAACCAAATGAATGGCAGACCAATCCATAACAGCACCCTCTGGCATCGTAACACACGAACGTGCCTGATGGGTCCGTGTGGTACCTGGTGCGAGCAAGGAAGGGGGGTGGGGAGGTGTGGCAATGGCAACCAAATGAATGGCAGACCAATCCATAACAGCACCCTCTGGCATCGTAACACACGAACGTGCCTGATGGGTCCGTGTGGTACCTGGTGCGAGCAGGGAGAGGGGGGGGGAGGCGGGGGGGAAATGGTGGAGGGGGGTGGTTGTGGGGGAAGAACATGTTGAGTGGGGGGTTTTCCCCCAATGGCTTTGGCATCGTAGCGCACGAACGTGGCTGAAGGATCCGTGTGGTACCTGGTGTGAGCAGGGAAAAGGGGGGTTGAGGGGCATGGGCAAGCAGCGTGGACAGAGCAAGGGGGAACAATGACAGACAATGGCAATGGCAATGGCAATGGCAATGGCAATGGCAATGGCACATGAACATGCATGAAGGGTCCGTGTGGTACCTAGTGCGTGCAAGGACGGGCAGGATGGGTGCAAGTGGTGAAGGGGTATGACAGTACAGGGACGGCATGAGCGGCAATAGCAGCGCCAATGGCCGTGAAACCCTAGCTCCTGATCGGCCCGAGGTGAAGGGCTCGATGACTCGTTTTGAATAAGCAAGAGTGTCCTATCAACCACGGACCACAAGAAATACCAGTTCATACAAAGGAAGTGAACAACTGAGGTGGTTTTTGAGGCGCCTCAAAAACCACCTCAATGTCCTATCAACCACGGACCACAAGATGTAACTTTTCATACATAGGAAGTGAACAACTGGCAAACAGCTGATTTTTGAGTCGACTCAACAATCAACAAGAAATACCTGTTAATACAAAGGAAGTGAACAACTGACAAACAATGTGCACGTCCACATGACGCTCATACAAGCATGTAGACTGGCAGATTGCATGCGCATTGCACATGCATCGTAGAAGCAAACTACAAGGGCATACTCATGTGCTATCCATGCAAGCAGGCAAATGCATGTAAGTGGGCAGGGCACACTACGTACAGGGATGGACTGTTCTTGTAACCCCCAGCCTCCCGTGTTTGCATATGACACGTAAGGCACATTCACTACACGAATATGCCATGTTCACACGACAAGCATGCACACAGGCACATGACGTACAGGCAAGGCCCGTATTTGTCGACTCCAGCGATCAGCAGAGCCACTCCGAATGGACGGCTCTGATGTACCCATCAAAATGACAGGGGAGAGGGAGGGAGAGATAGTGAAGCATAGAAGAGAGGACCATGACGGGTAAATGAGGGGGAAAGAGGAGAACTTACGGAATGTATCATGAAAAGAAGGAACAAAGGGAGGAGAATATAGGAAAGGCAACATACAAAGAAGCAATTGTGGTGTACTAAAATAGAATATGGCTCCACTCTACATAAGCGGAGGTATACACAGGAGGAATTAGGTCATAGAAGTTAGATAGGTCCACACTGAAGCCGGCGATAGACGGCAGGTAGCTCGCTGCCAAGGCCTGCACACCCGCCAAGTGTCGTGCGGCCATTGACAGTGGCACTGCCAGATAGTTGCCAGCAAGCCATCACTGTTACCCCTCAGCCATTGCGATTCATCCCCCACCTGCACCTACCTTTTTTTACCCTTAATTTCCACTTATCACCCTTTCTTCCCAAACTTCACGAGGAGAAGTCACATCACAGCGCGCCTGCGGGCACGATTCCACCAGCACAGCCCTTTATTGCCATGTTAATTTTACTTTCAAGAATTCTCAGAAGTAAAATCAACACGCCTGGGTGCATGACTTCACCAGCACAGCCCTTTACTGCCCAGACCACCCATACCATGACACTAGGGCCGCAAACCCATTCGTTGTGCATGAAACCCACCCACCAGCTCACCATGCTGTCGTTCGTTCCCCCCCTCCCCAAACTTCAAGCCAGGGGTCGCAGAGCGCCTATACTCATCAAGCTGCTGGGTGGGTAGAGTGCACGACTCCATCAACACTCGACCCACCTACCCACCCGCCAGCTCACCATGCTGCTATCTCTCCCCTTTCCAAACTGCAAGGAGAGGTCACAGAGAGCCTGGGTGCACGACTATACCACCACAGCCCTTTCCTACCCTTCCCTACCACCATACTACCATACAGCTAATCCATGCTGCCACCCTGCAAACACATCCATACTGCATTAGCCCCACCCCACCCACCAACTCACCATGCTGTCATCTCCCCCCTCTCCAAACTTGAGGGAAAGATCGCAGAGTGCCTGGGTGCATGGCTCCACCAGCACAGCATGCCCTTTCGCTGCCCAGCCACAGTGCCATCATTCAGCCAACCACTATGCAACCACACTACTATACAATCAGTGTCCCACTGTCCCCACTGCCCACGAGTACTATGTCAGCAACTCACCATGCTGTCACCAACTCACCATGCTGTCACCAACTCACCATGCTGTCACCAACTCACCATGCTGTCACCAACTCACCATGCTGTCACCAACTCACCATGCTGTCACCAACTCACCATGCTGTCACCAACTCACCATGCTGTCACCAACTCACCATGCTGTCACCAACTCACCATGCTGTCACCAACTCACCATGCTGTCACCAACTCACCATGCTGTCACCAACTCACCATGCTGTCACCAACTCACCATGCTGTCACCAACTCACCATGCTGTCACCAACTCACCATGCTGTCACCAACTCACCATGCTGTCACCAACTCACCATGCTGTCACCAACTCACCATGCTGTCACCAACTCACCATGCTGTCACCAACTCACCATGCTGTCACCAACTCACCATGCTGTCACCAACTCACCATGCTGTCACCAACTCACCATGCTGTCACCAACTCACCATGCTGTCACCAACTCACCATGCTGTCATTGTCAACCTCCCCAAACTCAGCATGGGCCTTCCCTGCCCTTCCATCCCGCCAGCCACTATGCAAACACAATCCAATGCAGTCACTGTCTCCGTTACCCACGAGTACCATCTCACCAACTCACCATGCTGTCGTCTCCCCCCTCTCCAAACTTCAGAGACAGGTCGCAGAGGGCCTGGGTGCATGACTCCACCAGCATGGGCTCGTTGTACGAGAAGCGGTGCGACTGAGAGCGGTACAAAGGGGTGAGGTGCGGTGGAGAGGGGTGAAGTGGGGTTAAGAGGAAGTTATATGCCTCCCCTGATCTTCAAGGAGAGGTCACAGGGTGACTGGGTGCACGACTCCACCAGCATCGGCTAAACGTATGAGAAGCGGTGCGACTGGGGGCGGTATGAAGGGGTGATGCGGTGTGGAGAGGGGTGAATCATGGTTACAAAAGGTGAAGGGCGTTCAAAAGGGGCACTGGCAGTTTAGGCAGGCAAAAAAAAAATGTGGCAACCCACCTGAGTTTATATGCGAGCAGGGTAACTCCTAAGAATTCTCAAGAGTAAAGAGAAGAAAATGAGTGCAAGTGTGCAGGCATTTGCAGTGAGGTGAGTTTTGAGGCGCCGTAAAACTCAATCCACCTGAGTTTATATGCGAGCACGGTAACTCTAGAGAATTCTCATGAGTGTAGGAAATGAGTGCGAGTGTGCAGGCATTTGCAGTGTGCGTCAGCTCATTTCAGCACCAGCGTGACTTTTTCAAGGTGCTCCAAAATCCACCTGAGTAAAAAACGTTTGCGCTGAAACGAGCCAGAAAACGCTGCACATCTGAGTTTGGTCTGGATGTTGCTGTGGCGGATCAGCATTGATCCTACCACTCACGCCAGCCCGCATTGTTTCCTTATGAGGAGTCCGAATGCTGCCCCCACCTGAGTCTGAATCCACCGGACTCATGTGTGCAGCATTTGGGCTGCACATGTGAGTCTGGTCTGGATGCTGCCGTGGCGGATCAGCATTGATCCTACCCACTCACGCCAACCCCTATGTTTTCATGAGGAGTCCAAATGCTGCACATACCTGGGTCTGAATGCGGCCGTGGTGAATGAGAGTGCAGGCATCCGCTGTGAGTGAGACCACCCATGAAAATCCATACCATGTGTGTTAATCCTCACGACAACTCAGAAAACCGAATGCTGCACACACCTGAGTCTGGATGCGGCCGTGGTGGATGAGAGTGCGCGCATCGGCTGTGAGGCCACTCATGGCGGCTCCAATGTGTGAATCCACCTCCATTATCTTCTCCACACTGCGCGGCTCCTGTATTCACTCACCGCACAGAACCACACAGCATCGCACAACACCATGGAGCAGCACAGCAAATGCACACAGTAAAGGGCAGATGGGCAATGACGAGGCCACTCATGGCGGCTCCAATGTGTGAATCCACCTCCATTATCTTCTCCACACTGCGCGGTTCCTGCAGGGCCTACGGCACAGCACCAAACGGAACCACACAGCAAGACAGAGCACCACACAGCACCGCACAGCACCACAGAGAACCGCACAGCACATGCACGCAAGCTTGGGGCAGATGGGCAGTGAACTTCGATCTTGGCTACACCAATGTGTGAATCCATCTCCGTGATCTTCTCTGCACTGCGGGGCTCCTACATAGCCCCACTGCACAGCACCGTACACCATCGCACCACACCACAACACATACATGCAAGTGAGCACAGCACACATGGAAGGTGAAACCACTCCACTGCCACCACCAGTCCTTCTCCACCACTCCCTCCCTACCACCATCGCTCCCTCCCTCCCCCATCCCTCCCTCCCTCTAAATGATCGATGTCACACCACTTGAACTTGCTGCCCAGTACCTGCAATGAGGGTTGGTGCTTGTAAATCGACAGTTGGTGCTTACGAGGACACAGGGGCTTGGTAGGTGAATACAGGAGATTAAGAGGTCATGCTTGGATTCATTGTCAGTCGCACGTAAGGAGATAGCAATAACAGCAGAGGCAGGTTTATCTCTTCTCAACTGCCAGCAGCACTCACTCGTTGGAGTCAGAGTGTGTTGCGGCTTGAATTCACTTTCAATAGCACGAACTGAAGAGCGCTGGAACTTGAAGTCTCGCACGAGATTTTAAGTTCCATGAGAGTAGAGGAGAGCCATACATACCAGCAGCGGCGACGTTATTCTCTTCTCCACCGCCAGTACCACGCCCTCCTTGGTCTGAGTGAGTACTGCTGCTGGGGTTGAACTTCAATCACAGCAATATAGAGTCATACCAAGAGCGGAGTCATACCAGGAGCGGCGACGTTATTCTCTTCTCCACTGCCAGCACCACGCCCTCCTTGGTCTGAATGCCCACCGCTGTTGACCCCAGCTGCATCCACGCAAGGGCACATAAGAGAGCGTGTGAGATGACATGACATGAGGCGAGATGACACGCTCTTGAGTCGACTCAAAAGTCTTCTCCACCGCCAGTACCACGCCCTCTTTGGTCTGAATGCCCACCGCTGTTGACCCCAGCTTCATCCATGCAAGGGCACATAAGAGGGCGTGTGAGATGACCTGACATGGCACGAGATAACAGTGTTGTTTTGAGACGTCTCAAAACCACGCCCTCCTTGGGCGATAGGCATGAGGTAAAAATAAGGTGCCGGATCTGTTCTCATATGCACAAAGGATCTTAATTCTGGAAAGCACAAGTGTGAGAGTTCCTTGATGGATTCGATGGCGTACTCCACTTGAAACAGCCGCCTCTCGGGCGACATGGTAGCACCTTTGCTGCAGCTCTCCTCGCTCACTATCAACAGACTCGCTATTAGAGAGCAAACACGCGCGTACCTTGATGGCCTCAATCGCGTACTCCACTTGAAACAGCCGCCCCTCGGGCAAAATGATAGTACCCTTGCTGCGTCTCACTCAACATCAAGAGATTTGATTCCAAAAGAGAACGGCTGGGCGCGTACCTTGATGGCCTCGATCGCGTACTCCACTTGAAACAGCCGCCCCTCGGGTGAGAACGTGCTCACCCCCCGATCGTACTCGCTCCTGCCAGCCGTTACATCGGATGCGAACGCAGGTTAGTGTGCGTGTACGGCATCAGTACGTGTGAAGGACTAGCTTTGACTAGCTTTGCCTGGAACGAACGGAATCGAAACCAGGGTGGTAGATATAACAACGAGCTGAAATACTGAGCCCGCGAATCCCTTCGCGTACGAAATGGTTGCATCGCGGGCGGTTACTCAGCTCGCGATGGTTACCGCCGTTAGTACTGAATCACAAAAGTGAACTACAGGTAACCCGAAGCGAAGAACTAGCCCTGGGTCACGAATTAAGTAAACTGACTTCCAGCCCCGGTTGGTGGCTCGTCGTAAAGCTCGAAAAAGTGGATTAAAAATGGCCAATCGAGGAACTCAAATCACGTCACGTGTGTCGTAACGGAAACATTATCAGTCATTGACAGGCAGATTTCAAACGAATGCCTCTGGACGTACTAAGACATGCCAGGGAGACCGAGTAAACGATTGTCGTCGATAAAGCTTCCAAAGATTCGCGACATGTACAAGCACCTTCGATCGCGAAAATAAGAGACGGGTTCCGCTAAATCGGGCGATGCGCGAGCATGGTTCGAACGCGACTCAGATCAGGATGTTAACTCAAATCTAATCCGAAAGCCCGCATGAATTCTGGCTAGTGTGATGGCATAAAGGATTTTACCTCGTAAGAAACATGGCGGCAATTTGTCAGAGGGGATTGAGAAATCGACGTCGATCGACGACAACAGGAGACTAAAAGAGCTGGGCGTAGCAAGACTGCGCAGCGTCCTAATGGGATTGATGCTGATCAGACCTGCGTGGACGAAAAATGGCTGCTGAGCTGATACGAGCGTGGGATGCAAGAATTCAAGAGATCGCAGAATGTAGCGAGAGGAGGAGGTGAGAGGCCAGCAGTTTGACAAAGGGGATTGTTAGGGCGCGGCACCATTTTGCCAAACGCGATGCAATCCTCTAACTACATGACGTGCACGATGACTCGTAGAGCTTAACGAATTCGCTGACGACTTCTGACAGCATCTATTACCAGGCCTCAGTCCGAACCGTCGGCGGCCCAGACCATCTACTGGCAAAATGGTGCCGCGCTCTTAGATGTACAGTAACCTGAGAAGGCTCGGGTTTCGCCGAATTTTATAAATGATATGTTTGAATTTGCCGAGTCTTTTGAAAGGCAGACAGTTTTAAAGGACCTGCTTTCAACAAGGATACTCAACAATTTCGAGGAGCCTAGCCTACCTGTTGCTGAGCCCTTTGTGCGCTGTTCCCATTTGCTCACAAGCTAGCCGATAGTTAGCAGCCAGGAGTACGGAAACTGAAGAATGATCAGAGTTGACTAAAACCCAGCCAGAAAAAGCAGTCTCGAGGGCCTCTGAGAGAATTAATAAGGGACTGCGATGCGGCACGCATTGGATCCGCGAAAGACTCTCACACAAGTTTCCTGCCAGCTTCATCAACATCTCCTGCAAGTTCACAAGCGTCTGATTTTTTTTTAAGCGAGTCGCTAAACGGTGCCGTTTACTTCAGCTCCCCAGCCCGTGCGTTCCCAGCAAAGTCTCCATGTCAGTACCTGCGGCCGCAAGTAGAGTGCTACTAAACCTCGCGAATAAGACACCTCTAGAGACGAAACATTTGCATTAAGCCCCAGTCAGGATCATCGGAGCATACGCCAGTTTGTATCAACAAGCGCGAGAGTCATTGCCCGCCAATATTCGCTTGCTCGCACTTCAGCGGCACCTGAGCTGCCTTGGGAATACCAGAACGGTCAGAACGGCCAGTTAATCTTTGATATACACGTCACCAACTAAATTCGACTTAGGACGAGCTTCGGATTGACTGAAAACAGAGAGCAATGGATCCCGTTGTCATGGATTGCGGGTCTGGCACGTTTAAGGCTGGCTACGCTAACCCCGATGCGGACCCTCCTGTGGTGAGTGCGTCTTGAGGATTGAGGTCGAAGCAAATGGCTTGAATGGGCATGGATTGCGGGTCAGGCACGTTTAAGGCTGGCTTTGCCAACCCTAACGCCGATCCGCCTGTGGTGAGTGTGTCTTGGTAGCTAGTACTTCTTAGAATGTACATTCTGACACTGCTGTCGCCACTCCTGGCGCCGACCTTCCTGTGGTGGTGCGTATTGAGGATTGAACTGAAGAAAATGGAGTGCACGGGCATATATTGCAATGCAACTCAGGGTTGTGGGTTGATGATACTGGATTGCTTGGTGAATTGTGGGTCAGGGACGTACCTGCCAGGTCGGATGGGTTCATTCTGAAGGCTAGTTGGCTCCCGTATGTGACTCTTCTCTTTGTGCCTCTGATTGCCTTTCTATGTCTCTCTATGCCTCGCTATGCCTCTCTATGCTGTTTTGTGCCTTTGTAAGGTATGCCTCTCTGTATGAACCTGTGTATCTGTATGTATCCATGTGTGCTTCAGATCATCCCAAGTTATTTAGGCGCTTCAAAAATCACCTTTGTGCCCTTTGTATTGTATTGTATGCCTCTGTATGGCCCGGTTTGTCTGTATGTATCCCTGCGTGCTTCAGATCATCCCAAATCGCTTCGTGGAAGCACCAGGGGAGCGCCCAGTCAGTAACGGGGCCAGCACTAACGACTCCGGGGCAGCAGCAGCAGGGCGCGTGGTGGGGGGCGTGGAGCGGGGGCGGGTGGTGGAGTGGGGGGTGATGGAGGACGCATGGCGATACATGCTGTACGAACAGTTGGGGTGGGAGGAGGGCGCTGAAGGCGCTGTGCTGCTGTGTGAGCCGATTCTCACGCCCCGAGTGAGTCTCAATTGTGTGTGTTGTGAGATGTTGGTGGATTGGGGTTAGCACACTCATAGCAATGGGAGGCTAGTGGGTGGGGGTATGGAGCGTGGGCGGGTGCTGATGGGGGTGGAGGAGCATGGATGGGTGGGTGATGGGGGTGGAGCGGGGGCGCGCGGTGATGGGGCATGGAGCGAGGAAGAGTGGTGGAGTGGGGGGTGATGGAGGGCGCATGCCAATACATGCTGTACGAACAGATGGGGTGGGAGGAGGGCGCTGAAGGCGCCGTGCTGCTGTGCGAGCCCATCCTCACCCCACGAGTGAGTAGCAACATTCTGGCCTGGCCTGTCCGGGCTCGGAAGGTATTTCAAGTGTGATGTGTGCTGCTGTGCGAGCCCATCCTCACCCCACGAGTGAGTAGCAACATTCTGGCCTGGCCTGTCCGGGCTCGGAAGGTATTTCAAGTGTGATGTGTGCTGCTGTGCGAGCCCATCCTCACCCCACGAGTGAGTTTTGCTTGTGTCTGGGAGGGTGGGAATTCTCACGGCCCGAGTGTGTAGAGAGTGTGAAATGCAGCAAGGGAGGCTCTTCTTCTCGACGCAAAAACGGTCGAGCTCGTGTGTTGAATATCTGTTTTCTGTGGTCGGATTTCTTCGCAGCGGACCACCCAGTCCTTCCCTCTCTTCCCCTTCCTCCACACCTTCCTCTCCCATTTTCTCTCACTCCCTCTCCCTCCAGGCCGACAGGGAGCAAGCAGCGCAGATCCTCTTTGAGGCCTTCAGCTTCAGAGCAACCAGTCATTCCCGCTCTTCCGCTTCCTCCTTTCTCTCACCTCTATCTCCCTCTCTCTCCCTCTCTCCCTCACTCCCCAGGCCGACAGGGAGCAAGCAGCACAAATCCTCTTTGAGGCCTTCAGCTGTTCCGGCTTCTTTGCACCGGAGCAGTATACCCTTTCCGCCTTCCTCTTTACTCCCGGTCTCACTTGTTTCCCTCCCTGCTTCTCTCCCCTCCTCCCTATTCCAGGCTGACAGGGAGCAAGCAGCGCAGATCCTCTCTTTGGCCTTCAATTGCGTGGGTTTCTTTGCAGCGGAGCAGCCAGTTATTTCCCCCTTTTCCTACCTCCCCTCTTCCTCCAGGCTGACAGGGAGCAAGCAGCGCAGATCCTCTTCGAGGCCTTCAGCTGTTCGGGTTTCTTTGCAGCGGAGCAGCCAGTGCTGGCGCTCTATGCTCTCGGCCGCCTCTCCGGCTGCTGTGTCGACCTGGGCCACGGCAAGACAGGTCAGCGGGGGCTGTATGCTATTCCCTCGGCCGCCTCTCCGGCTGCTGTGTCGACCTGGGCCATGGAAAAACAGGTCAGAGGAGGTGACTTGGGGACGATTGGCCTTATAGCGGGGATGGCTAATTCAGAACCACTGGCTGGTGCATAGACGCTTCTTTGCAGCGGAGCAGCCAGTGCTGGCCCTCTATGCCCTCGGCCGCCTCTCGGGCTGCTGTGTGGACCTGGGCCATGGCAAAACAGTTCAGAGGAGGTGATTTATAACGGGGATAATTGGCCTTTTAATGGGGACAATTGGCCTTATAGCATGGATGCGTTTCTTTGCAGCAGAGCAGCCAGTGCTGGACCTCTATGCCCTCGGCCGCCTCTCGGGCTGCTTTGTCGACCTGGGCCATGGCAAAACAGGTCAGAGAGGGCCGTTACAGCTCCTTATAACGGGGGTGAATGCCTATAACATGGATAACTGCTCCCAAACGCGGGATGCTATTCCCTCGGCCGCCTCTCTGGCTGCTGTGCGGACCTGGGCCATGGCAAGACAGGTCGGAGGAAACGCGTTATAACGGGGATGACTGCACTATGATGGGAATGACTGCCTTATAATGGGATGACTGCCCTATAACGTGAATGACTGCCATTGAACAAGGGTTACTGATAACGGCCTTGTAACGCCGTGCAATTGAGGATTTCTCACGCGCCCTTCCCCCTCCTCTCTGCTAATTTTCTTCTTCCCTTCCTCAACACCTCCCCCTTACTTCGCCCCACCTTTTCCCCGGCTTTCTGCGTTCCCTGCTCACACTTCTCACCCCTCTCGGATTGTCTAGCTGCCAGCCACTTGACCATTTCTCCACTTACATTTCGCGTGGTCGAATTCCCTTGCTGTACTACTCTCACCCTCCGTCCTCTCTGCTTCTTCCCCCTCCCATCTCCCTCTCCTGCCCGCCTCTTCAGATTTCTCGGTCGTGCAGGAAGGAGCGTTGGTTCCCTCTTCTGCTCGCCGCTGGCCAATCGGCGGCTGTGATCTCTCAGAACGAATCCAACGGCTGGTATTTGAGGAGAGGCAGAGGGCGGGAGGAGCAGACGCAGGTGGGGATTCAGTGACACGTGGCAACCTCTCATTGGACGCTGCTGCGTTGGAGAGACTGAAGGAGGAAGCCTGCGAGGTGGCTCTGGACGAGAATAGTTTCGCAGCTGCCCGGGCTGCGGACGAGAGGAAAGAGTTTGTGCTGCCCGACGGGCAGGTCAGTTCATCTTTTTTATGAGCAGGTTTTGTGTGATTATTTTACACTAACAAGCTTTTTTAACAATGCCTAGGCATCGGAGGCCCTCGTGAGACCCTCACTCCTCACCCACGCGGTTCCCCCAGTCGCCCTACGGCCTTCCCTCTTCAGGCCCTCCCTCCTCACCAAGTGTCCTTCTTTTGGCCTCCTTCCCCATCCACTTGCTTCCCATCCCCCTCCACTTTCAGAGCATCACCCTCGGCAGGGAACAATTTGAAGTTGCAGAAGCCCTCTTCAGACCGTCACTCCTCACCCACAACTCATTTCTCTGGCTCTCCGCATGTCCTTCCCTCTTGGCCCTCTTCTTCTCACTCGCCCCCCTCCCATTCCAGCGCATCACCCTCGGCAGTGAACGATTTGAGATTGCAGAAGCTCTCTTCAGGCCCTCCTTCCTCACGCACAACACACTTCTCTCACCGCCCTCCCATTTGAGTTGGGCCCCTTCCCCTTCCCCATCCCCGTGCTTCCGCTCCCTCCCCCGCTTTCAGCGCATCACCCTCGGCAGTGAACGCTTTGAGATTGGGAGGCTCTCTTCAGACCCTCCCTCCTCACCCACCCACGGTTCCCCCATTCCCCTTATGGCCTTCCATCTTCCGTCCCCTCCCTTTTCGCATTACAGCGCATCACTCTCGGCAGTGAACGATTTGAGATTGGGAGGCTCTCTTCAGACCCTCCCTCCTCACCCACACCTCACCTCTCTCGCTCGCGGCATGCCCTTCCCTCTTGGCCCTTTCCCTCTCATCACGCCCTCCCATTTCAGCGCATCACCCTCGGCAGTGAACGGTTTGAAATTGGAGAGGCTCTCTTCAGGCCCTCTCTCCTCACCCACACACAACCCCCATTCCCCTCGTGCCCATCTCTTTGTCTTTTCCTCCCTTCCCTTTCAGCGCATCACCCTTGGCAGTGAACGGTTTGAGATTGGAGAGGCTCTCTTCAGGCCCTCTCTCCTCACGCACATCTCACTTCTCTCACCGCCCTCCCTCGAGGCCTCCCCATTGGCTGGCCCCGACTCGGCCGGCATTGTTCAGCAGCTTCTGAGTGTGGTGTTCGACGCAGCAGGGCTGGGAGGGGGAGGGGGGGGAGGGGGCGGCGGAGGAGGAGGGGTAGGGGGAGGGATGGGAGGGGTGGGCGGGGGAGGAGGGCTGGGGGGAGGAGGGATGGGGGTAGAAGGGGGGAAGCAGCGGGCAGCTCTGGAGTCGATTGCAGTGGTGGGGGGAGGGTCGAGCCTCAAAGGGTTGGTGGATCGGTTTCAGAGTGAAATACAAATGGCAGTGTCTCCCTCCCTGCAGCCCACTGTCGTGCGGGTGAGTGGAGTGTTGCTTTGGGTGTTGCTTTTGAGAGCTCCCAAAGCAGCACCAACATGGCTGGGCTGGGAGGGTCGTGTCTGAAAGGGTTGTTAGTTGGGCTTAGAGTGAAGTGCAGATGGCGGTGTCTCCCTCCCTGCAGCTCACTGTCGTGCGGGTGAGTGGGGTGGTGGGATGAGTGGAGTGAGTGGGGATGAGCGGATGAGAGCGGAAGGGGGAAAGCAGCGGGCAGCTCTGGAGTCGATTGCAGTGGTGGGGGGAGGGTCTTGCATTAAGGGGTTGTTGGATCGGTTTCAGAGTGAAATACAAATGGTAGTGTCTCCCTCCCTGCAGCCCACTGTTGTGCGGGTGAGTGGGGAGAGAGGGGTTAGTGGGATGTTAGCTGTTGTGCAGGTGGGTGGGAGGTGTGTGGATGGGTGTGGCGGTCTGGGTGGGATGGATGGGCAAAGTGCTGGCTCAGAGTGAAGTGCAGATGGCAGTGTCTCCCTCCCTGCAGCCCACCGTTGTGCGGGTGAGTGGGGTGAGGGGAGGGTGAGGGGGTGGGCGAGTGGGGTGGGTGAGTGGCTGGGCGAGTGGAGTGGGTGATTGGGTGGGGCGAGTGGGGTGGGTGAGTAAGTGGATGAGTGGGTTGAGGATATGAGTGGGTTCTAAAGAGGTATGGAGAGGCGAACTCCGTCTGCAATGTGAAGTTCGAGGCGCTGTCTGACTTGTGGCAGAGCGGTTGGTTGGTACATGTGTCACTTGTAACAACATGGCATGTATTTGTGTCACTCCGTATGCTTTTTGAGCTGCAGCTGGGGTTCAATATGTTGCACAGCGCGCATCACCCAACACTCCAGCTTCAGCTCTCAACTTCTTTCCACCAAGCATTCAACTTCTTTCCACCAACCATTCAACTCTCCCCCTTCCCCCCCCCATGACTTTATATTTTTTTCACGCTGCAACTCACTGCCACTCCAACTTTGCTTCTTTTCATAACCTCTCCCCCCGTCGCTCACCTGAACCTCCAGGCACCTGACTACATGCCGGACAACACCGCCCGCTACGCTTCCTGGTACGGCGGGGCTATAGTGGCTCGAATTGTGTTCTCTCAGAACCAGCACGTCACACGGGCAGAGTACAATGAGAGGGGGCCTGCTGCTGTGCACCGCAAAAGCATGTGATGTGACTGTAGTGAGGTGATTGTAGTGCTTGGACTGTAGTGTAGTGTTGAGATGCCTCGTGGTACGGAGGGGCCATAGTGGCGCGCATTGTGTTCTCTCAGAATCAGCACGTCACTCGCGCAGAGTACAGTGAGAGAGGGCCTTCCGCTGTGCACCGAAAGAGCATGTGATTTTGCTAATATGATTGTAATGATGTGATTCTAGTGACGTGATTTTGCTGATGTGACTGTAGATAATTCCCAACTTGCTTCTTTCACATTTTTTTGGTATGAACCCACTCCTTTCTTGCCTCAAGCCGGCCAAAAGCTGAGTATGAATGACAAAGGTGTACAAAAGGGGGGCATATCTGGTGAAGTACACTATGGAGCATGGTGAAGTTGGCCCTTACAAAACGTCAGCCACAAATCGGATCTATCTTTATCAGTGGCTATTTATTTACTTTGGTTCGGAACCCCACAGAAGTGTTCATTCTGAAAGCTCAATTAGGACCTCTGAGAAGCCCCCTCTGAAGTTTACTCTGAGCGCGTAGCACAGCGTGCCTTCAGAACCATCTCCCACCTCCGAATCTCCCACCTCCGATTCTACCACCTCCTAATCTACCACTGCCTGACGAACCCGAGGTGACTTTTGAGTCGACTCAAAATTAATCTCCCACCCCCGAATCTCCCACCTCCAAATCTCCCACCTCCGAATCTCCCACCTCCAAATCTCCCACCTCCGAATCTCCCACCCCCGAATCTCCCACCTCCAAATCTCCCACCCCCGAATCTCCCACCTCCGAATCTCCCACCTCCAAATCTCCCACCCCCGTATCTCCCACCTCCGAATCTCCCACCTCCGAATCTCCCACCTCCGAATCTCCCACCCCCGAATCTCCCACCTCCAAATCTCCCACCTCCAAATCTCCCACCTCCAAATCTCCCACCTCCAAATCTCCCACCTCCGAATCTCCCACCTCCAAATCTCAAACCTCCAAATCTCCCACCCCCAAATCTACCACCTCCAAATCTACCACCTCCAAATCTCCCACCTCCAAATTTCCCACCTCCAAATCTCCCACCTCCAAATCTCCCACCCCCAAATCTCCCACCCCCAAATCTCCCACCCCCAAATCTCCCACCTCCAAATCTCCCACCTCCAAATCTCCCACCTCCAAATCTCCCACCTCCAAATCTCCCACCTCCAAATCTCCCACCTCCAAATCTCCCACCTCCAAATCTCCCACCTCCAAATCTCCCACCTCCAAATCTCCCACCTCCAAATCTCCCACCTCCAAATCTCCCACCTCCAAATCTACCACCTCCAAATCTCCCACCTCCTGCGGTAGACATGAGATGATTGGATGAGGCGTGTTGAAGCTTGAAATCTTCAGAGCAGTCAGTCACTGAAATAGTCAGGGAAGGGGAAAGAATCCGAGGGCAGGAAATAAGGGTAATGGTTCAACCACAAGCTGTGATGAGAGGAATCATGGAGAAAATGATGGGAATTAGGATGAAGAAGAGGAGAGTCAGGGTGAAAATGAGGGGAACCAGGGAGAAAATGAGGGGAATCAGGAAGAAAATGAGGGGAATCAGGAAGAAAATGAGGGGAATCAGGAAGAAAATGAGGGGAATCAGGAAGAAAATGAGGGGAATCAGGAAGAAAATGAGGGGAATCAGGAAGAAAATGAGGGGAATCAGGAAGAAAATGAGGGGAATCAGGAAGAAAATGAGGAGAATCAGGACGAAAATGAGGGGAATCAGGACGAAAATGAGGGGAATCAGGAAGAAAATGAGGAGAATCAGGACGAAAATGAGGGGAATCAGGACGAAAATGAGGGGAATCAGGAAGAAGTCGAGAGGAATCAGGTCGAGGGGGAGGAGGGGACTCAGGGGGAGAAGGAGGCTTTGGAAGGCATGTGAGGAAAAGCACTTTGAGATCGCTTTCAGCTTCGGAGGGGTGGCAGGAAAGGTAACAAGAGGGAATAGTACAGCAGGGGGCACAGTGAGGGGGAGAGGCGCAGAGAAGGGAGGACAGGAAGAGAGGGATATGCAGGGAGGGGAGATGGAATGACAGGCAGGACGACAAGGGCGAGGCTGGAAGGATAGATTGTGAGGCAGGCAGGGGACAATGGGAATGCACGGCGCGGAAGAGAAGAAAGGAGGGAGAAAAGGGAGGGAAGGGAGAGTAGGGAGGGAAGGGAGAGAAGTGAGGGAAGTGAGAGAAGTGAGTGAAGGGAGAGAAGTGAGTGAAGGGAGAGAAGGGAGGAAAGGGAGAAAAGGGAGGGAAGAGAGAGAAGGGAGGGAAGGGAGAGAAAGGAGGGAAGGGAGAAAAGGGAGGGAAGGGAGAGAAGGGAGGGACGGGGTAGAAGGGAGGGACGGGGGAGAAGGGAGGGAAGGGAGAGAAGGGAGGGAAGGGAGAGAAGGGAGGGAAGGGAGAGAAGGGAGGGAAGGGAGAGAAAGGAGGGAAGGGAGAAAAGGGAGGGAAGGGAGAGAAGGGAGGGACTGTCAGAAATAAGTGAGCAGGAATGAATGAACTAGAACAGAGTTTGGTACAAGTAGGAAACCCTAACTTTGTGTACCCCCTAAGGTGTAACCCACTACAGCCTAGACAATATAAACATGCAATGTTTGACACACCCCCATAGGCGCAGTGGGAGACAACCACAGGGTCACAAGACCAGTCAAAGCAAAGCAAAGCAAGCTCAGGGTGGATCTCAAGGATTCCACACAAATTCCGAGCACAAGCAAGCGGTCACAAGACCAGTTCACATGCAGGTTTATAACAAAGCAAGAGATACAGTGATCACAACCTAGCAAAAGTAAACAAGTAGGCATACATATATAGTGATCACAGTACAAGCAAGGTCAAGAGGTAAGTAAGTGAGGCCCAGTGGGTACAAGGCCTAGCAGAGTGCAGAAGCGCTGATGGTCACAAGGCTGAAGCGCCTTGGTGAACACATCAGCAGTGTTGGCCTCCGTGGCCACGTAACGCAGACAAAGCTGACCACGCTGCTGCAGCTCTCGAGCAAGGAAGTACCGCAGAGCGATGTGCTTCGTTCTGTGCTCCAGTCTGTGCTCCTCACACAAGGCAATGGCAGCCTTGTTGTCGACGTACAGCACTGGAGGAGAACGAGGCCGCTCTCCGAGGTCGGTCAGCAGGTAGGTCAGCCAGCGTAGCTCCTGAGCAGCCATGGCTGTGGCGTAGATCTCAGCCTCACAACTGGAGCTGAGAACCGAAGAAGAGCGAGTAGAACGCCAAGAAACTGAGCCAGAGCCAAGGCTGAAGGTGTAACCCTGGGACGACCGCTGAGTAGCCTGGTCGTCTGCCCAAGAAGCGTCTGAGTGCCCTGTGAGAACAACCCGGTCTCGCCCTCCAAGCACAAGCCCCATGCCCGACGTACTGCACAAGTAGCGCAACACCCTCTTAGCAGCATCCATGTGCTCCTTCCGGTGACGGCCAGGAGCGACATAGCGTGCTAGGATGCTAAGAGGGTATGCAAGGTCAGGTCGAGTGCAGGTCATCAGGTACATGAGGCAGCCCACAAGCTCTGGATACGGGCCACTCGGCTCTACGGACTCATCCGAAGGCAGAGCTGAGAGCGAGTGACCGGTAGGCAGAGGAGTGGACTGAGGCGAGGAGTACGTGAAGCGGAAGCGCTGGAGAACCTGCTGCACCATGTGTGACTGAGTCAGGGTGATGGTGCGTCGTGCTCTGTCCCGGGTGATCCGCAAGCCAAGATAGCTCGTCAGCTCACCCAGGTCTGTGCACGTGTGTCTCCTCTGCAGCTCCGACTTCACGTGAGCGAGTGCCGCGGTGTCAGCAGTGGCAAAGACCAAGTCGTCGACGTACACGAGGATGTAGAACGGCGGCAGTGAGGTGTCGGTGCGTAGAAACAGCGACGGGTCAGCAGTAGAGGGAGCGAACCCAAGAGCCGCAAGTGTCGTCCTCAGTGTGTCGTGCCACTCACGTGGCGCCTGGCGGAGACCGTAGACCGGCCGCTGAAGCCTCCACTGGGTGCCAGGAGGAACTGACCCAGTGAAGCCAGGGGGGCGGCGCAGCCAGATCTCCTCGTGCAGGCTGCCCTGCAAGAAAGCAGTGCTGAAGTCAAGAGAGTGAAGCTCGTAGTCGCGGTGAGCGGCTATGTGCAGCAGCACCCGAAGAGTAGTCATCTTCGGGGTGGGGGAGAAGGTCTGAAAGAAGTCTACTCCCTCTCGCTGACTGAAGCCTCGAGCCACGTAGCGCGCCTTGAAGACAGGTGGAGAACCCGGCGGCCGCTTCACCCTGAAAATCCACATGCCACTGACGATGTTCGCCCCAGGAGGGGGAACCTCGTCTACGTAGGTGCCTGTGGACTTCCAGGAGGCCATCTCTGCGTCCATGGCTGTCTGCCACTGAGAGGAGTAGGGACCCGCCATCGCCTCAGCGTAAGAGCGTGGGGTCGGGATGTCTGGTGCATCCGGGTCTCCCTCAGGGGCAACTAGCAAGGACACGAGACGGGGCAAAGCAGCAGCAAGGCAGTGGAACTCCTCCTGTCTGTCCTCAAGGACGTCCGTGCCGAGGGCACACTCACCCCCGACGGACGGAGGACAGGCAGACGCAGACTCAGACCTAGCGACAAGGCTGGCAGCGTAGTCTAGGCGACAGCGAGCAGCAAAGTCAACCAACTCAGTGACCAGAGCAGACGCAGCAGAGGACTCAAAGGTCGGGTCAGTGACAACTGTAGCGAGGAGACGCGTAACAGTGGGACTGGCAGCACGACGGGAGTCAGACTCCGGGTCAGGAAGAGTAGGAAGAGAGGACGCAGGAGGAGACGGCAGCGGGACACGCTGCGGAGCAGTGGAGGGACGCAGGGTCATGTAGTGAGTGCCAGGGACAGGAGGAGGACGCTCACGTGGGACACGACGACCAGTGCGAGCAGTACGAACAGTACGACCAGTGCCAGGCGACGCAGGACGAGACTCAGGCTCACGACGCTCTGTAAGACCTCCTGTGGGACCAGTGTAAGGAGAGGGAGCAGGGAGAGGCGAGGCAGGCGGTAACTGTGACTGCAGCTGGACAGGCAGAGGACACTCGACGGAGGGAGGAGGACTAGGAGGAGGAGCCTGACCAAGAACCTGCTGAAGGAGCGGTACGAAGTACGGTCGCGGCCGCGCAGCGTCTCCAGAAGCAGCAGGGACACCAGTGGCAGCCCCAACGCCTGAGTCCTCAGCACCAGCAGCAGCTCCAACGCCCGGGTCCTCAGCACCAGTAGGAGCTCCAACGCCCGAGTCCTCAGCACCAGCAGCAGCGCCACCGGTCGGGTCCTCAGCACCAGCAGCAGCTCCAACGCCCGGGTCCTCAGCACCAGCAGCAGGGCCACTGGTCAGGTCCTCAGCACCAGCAGCAGCGCCACCGGTCGGGTCCTCAGCACCAGCAGTAGCTCCAACGCCCGGGTCCTCAGCAGCAGCAGCAGCTCCAGCCCCCGGGTCCTCAGCACCAGCAACAGCACCACCGCTCGGGTCCGCAGCACCAGGAGCACCACTACGAAGACTGCAGCGCCGCGTGTACCACTCGCGGATCACCTGAATGGGGGGGAGCTCCTGGGTAGGAGGGGAAGTACCGGGACGAGCTCCAGAAGCACCTCTCCGGAGGCGGCAGTGAAACTTCTGCAGCTGCTGGGAGGAGAGGGCTCCTCCAGGTGGAGCACGCTCAGGCTCAGCACCCCCAGACTCAGCACCCCCAGACTCAGCACCCCCAGTCTCAGCACGTCCAGGCTCAGCACCCCCAGGCTCAGTACCTCCAGGCTCCGCACCTCCAGGCTCCGCACCTCCAGGCTCCGCACCTCCAGGCTCAGCACCCCCAGGCTCCGCACCTCCAGGCTCAGCACCCCCAGGCTCCGCACCCTCAGACGCAGCACTCCCAGGCTCAGCACCCCCAGACGCAGGACGCGAGTCAACAGCTACCTCGACAGGCTCACCCGGGTCTACCTGGGACACACCTGAGGGAGCGGCACCCTGAGGGGGGAGGGGGTCTGGTACCTCAGCACCTGGAGCGAGGAAGAGAGGCGGGGGGGGGAGCGGGGCAGTGCGGTAGGGGAAGAGGCGGTAGAAGGGGACGGACTCGTCAAAAGTGACGTCCTGAGAGGCCAGAACCCGGCGCGAGGTGACGTGGTAAAACTGCCATCCAGGCGCGTCGGGAACAAAGCCAAGAAAGACACAGGGAACAGCGCGACGCGAGAGCTTGTCCGCGGACGTGTCGCGGACAAAAGCTCGAGATCCCCAGACCCGGAAACGCGACGCATCGCCAACCTCTCCCGTCCACCGTAGAGTCGGGGAAGTCTCCGGTAAGGAGACACGGGGCCAGAGGTTGAGCTGATGCGCTGCGTACCGGACCGCAAACGGCCACAGAAAGTGGGGAGCAGCCGCATGAGTCAGGGAGGTACGAGCGACCTCCATGACCAAGCCAATGCGGCGCTCAGCGACCCCATTCTGCTGTGGAGAGGCCGGAAGCGTGTACGACTGCTCAATGCCGTGCTCAGCACAGTAGGCTGCCAAGAGGTCGGAGGCAAACTCACCACCTCTGTCAGAGTGCAAGCGCAGGACAGGAAAGTCCGAGTGAAAGCGCTCGCCTAGCTGGAGACGGGCTCGGCTGATCCAGGGGATCAAAACACCAGGGACGTCACCCTTGGCGCGCAAGGGGAAGACCGTGGTGTAGCGCGAGTAGTCGTCAACAACTATCAGGAAGTACCTCTCCTGACCCTGACCACGGACGCGGGCTGGGCCCCACACGTCCATGTGGAGCGTCTGCAGGGGAGCGGTCGTCGGGGGAAAGGAGGAGGAGTGAGGAGCGGCGCGCTGCCGCCCCTCGACACAGGGAATGCAGTCAGGAGCAGGGGAGTCAGGAAGGGGAGGGAGCACCCTGGGAAGACCAGCAACAAGGTCCCGTTTGTGCATGGCCCGCAGGCGCTGCACAGACGGGTGACCAAGGCGGTGGTGCCAGAGGACGGTGTCGTTCGCCAGAGAGCGACACGAGCAGGGGGCGGACAGCTGACGCAGACGTAGACGCAGACGCAGCTACCTGAGGGGACTCAGTGGTCAGTGTGTACAGGTCAGACCCCGGCTCTCGAGTGAAAGTAGCCAGGTGGCGGCCCGTCCGAGCACACGTGCAGTGAGTCACACGCTCGTAGGCAGGGGTGAACTGGTGAACACCCGAGTCCTGGAGCGCACTACCTGCCACCAAGTTCGTGGAGAACGAGGGGAGGTAGAGACCTGAGAGCGTGCCGGACGGAACCGCTGGACACGGAAGGGTGGTGGAGGAGGTCGCAAGGACCGGACCCCCAGAGGGGTCAGCAAGAGAGACAGCAACCGGCCGAGCTAGAGGCTCAAGGACAGTGCGGTCACGAAAGAAAGAGCGAGAAGCACCTGAGTCCAGTGTGAAGGTGTGCAGTGCTGCAGTCGACTCAGTACCAGGGGGCACAGACGCACAAGCACCTAGAGTAGCAGCTGCAGTAGTACCAGTGGAAGCAGACACACTAGCACCTAGAGCAGCAGCGGGGCTGGCCTGAATGCCCGGGTCGGGCGGAACACGCAAGTACTGAGCACCCTCTCCACTAATAGACATCGCATACATGGCAGTGAGAATAGCATCAAAGTCAAGTGCCCAA